TTGTAGTGCTCGTCAAGCCAGCCAATTAAATTTTTCTTCTTTTTGACTTCTGTGTTTGGGTAGTTGGTTCCTGACCATGCGTATAAATTACCATCGATCCTACATACATTTCTTCATCTCTATTATATATTTTAAAGTTCCATTTACACAATATTTTCTAAATCTCAAATCTAATAAGCATTTGAGGAAAAAAAAGGAATGATGATCATGCGAATATCATCTATCTTTGCTTTCTTAGTACTGCTAATGATTGAATCAGCAGCAGGCCAGGCTCTGGTGAACCCTGGTTGTCGTCAACACTCTTGTGGGGATGTCAAGATTCCATATCCCTTTGGAATTGGAGTAGGTTGTTACATGAACACATGGTTTGAGGTCTCCTGCGGCCGGAATGAAACTCCCAAGCTAACCAGCGTAGATATTGAGGTGCTGTATTTCTCTCTTGATCAGAGCACTGTTGCAGTCAAAAGACCGATAATAGCGAATTGTTCTGGGGCGATTACAGGGAAATCTGTGAACTTATCGGGAAGCCCTTTCATGTCCTCCCTGCGAGAAGAGCTCTCCTTTCGACCCTCGAAAATCGAATATGTTCAAGATATGTTTACCTGGATGATTTCTGAGGAGTATGCATCACAATTACCACATACATATCCTGATGCATTTCGTTGTTTCCAGCCGAATATTAGTAGTTATCCGTATTCCCTTGTGTTTGATGATCCTTACCTGGACCCAAACGGAGCTCAGCTTCATAATTCTTCAATGCCCCCAAACGGAAGTCGACAATGTGCTTGTGAACCTGGATTTCAAGGCAACCCTTATCTACCTTTTGGATGTAAAGGTAAACTTTTCTTTGGTTGATTAATTATATTTGTACCCGATTTCTTTTATATATATTTAGCTCCTTTTTTTTTAACAATTTATTTTACAAGCATCTATCAAAGGGGTCTCGTATGAAAACATAGAAGACAAGAAAAAAAATTAAGAATAAGTTTCAAGATACTAATGCACACACTCTTTAACATACATGTTTAAGAAAAAATTATTATTTTTAATATAAAATTAAATAAAAAA